GCTCGCCCGCACCCCCCGGGCGGCCGGGGGTCTCCGGCGAGCAGCAAGCCTGCGGCTCCTCGGCCCGCCCCGGTCCTGCCGCACTCCCCTCGGGGCGCCCCGCGGTATTCCCGGCCTGCCGACAAGTGGGTGACAACGGCGGAAATCCTGGAGCTGAACATCTCAACGAGAGGGATTCGTCTGGTTCTAATTCATCAGAACAGCTGCTGAACAGTGTCTGTTGTCATCTCCAAGTACTCCTGATGTCAGCAGAAAAAATATTGAGCGTCTTCCTAAGGAAATACACAGAGTGCCCCGCACAAAGGTGGGTGCGTGCGTGGTTCTGATGGCTTGGCCGTGAGCATAGCACGGAGCGGGTAAGGGCTCGTTGCTTAGCCAGATGAGTGGAAAAGCTACTGATTCTTAGCTGTGATCTTTAATCACTTTTTTGGGAAATGTCTTAAATAAATCAGTTCTGTGTGTAATTCAGAGTTGTGTATCCTCTAATCCCGTTTAATGGTGCTCTTCCATAAAGGCACAGAGCACTTTACAGTTTCCACATCTTGCATGCCAAGGAACGGTCCCTCTCTCCCTGGATTTAAAATGTGTTTGGTTTTTTCTCTTAGTACTTTCATCTGGAAGGAAATGTCATATCAACGATTCCTGAGGATTTATTTCAAAAACTGCCACATCTTGTTTGGCTGGATCTCCGGTATAACAAGATTAAAGCTCTTCCCCCTGGAATCGGTTACCACAGGTAAGATCATTGGTCATACATATAATTTAATAACAATTGTATTTGTCTTCTATTTGCCTTACTGTAATTTCATTGTAACAGTCAGACTTTTATATGCTTTTGTCTGGCGTTGACCTCAGTGCAGGAGAGCGGTAAATAACCTTAATTTTGTTTACTAAAACTCAGATGAACTGAAAGGTCCAATTAATATTACATACTGAATTTCTAAACTTTTAACTTTAGAAATACAAGATCTGTTGGTCTTTTCACTTAAGTTTTTACAGTGTGGTAGGTGAGGTGAAAACAGGGACCCACAGATGCACACCTCATGACACTCCTAAGTAACAACTAAGGACAGTTTGGTCCGAGAACTTCACCCATTAATCTGGTTCTGATGGCTGTCTGACATGGCAGTCATTGCTGGAAGGATTAATTGCCTGTCACTGCTTCAGATGGAGTGTGTGAGGGAGAAGGTAGGTACACCATGTTGTTCTCACCCTGAGAAGTGCACTTGCTCTCACATTGCTGTGGCCACCAAAACTAACTTCCCACCATTGTCTTTAATGTTTTGGGACAACTCCTTGCGTCTCACTCCAGAGGGTAAGACCACAAATCACAGTATGTGGGAATAAACAGGGGCAAAGAAATTATTTTGTTACTGGAAGGGGAAAAAAGACCAACACAGGACAGTTTGCTTCAGTTGTGGTTCTTGTGAGAGACTGGAATGTCAGATGGCTGTGGCTTGTGTCCGTGCAAACCTCCAAGAGAAGCTCTGCGGCCTGCGAATTGCTCTGGGGGATGTGCCCAGAGAGGCGGGGGTGATTGAAGGATGCATCCCCCCCCCCTTCCTTGCGGTTGCATTGTCGGGACTCTTCAGGTAAAAGCCTCAGAGGGGGCTGAGCTGGCCCCATCCCGGAGCCCTTTGTGTCCCTGTTGTGTGGGCCAGACCCCATGCATGCATTGCTAATGCACTGATGAGGGGCAAACCTTCCTGCCCTGAAGCCGGGTGCAACAAAACCTGTTGGACCAGAGGAAAAAAAAAACTAAAGGCGAGCAGATATGCTGGTCAGCGGATCTTAAAAAGGCAGCAGAAAATTTTGCTCAGTGTGCACCCACCACCCAAGAACTGCAGGTTGGGGACCAACGGGACGCCGCTGGACCCATGGTGGTGACTGTCCCCGCAGCCCTATCCCGCACCCTTGCTTGATTTCTGTCTTTTCCTTCCGTTCTGTCCTATCGCTACCCCTCTTCACTTTTTAATAACAACCTGGTTTGGGTTTACAGCATTTGACCTCGGTTGTGTCTTAATCGTGCTCTGCAGATCACATCAAAACTTCCCCCGACATTGGATCGGGACTGTTCTTTAAAGAAACCTTTCAGTGAGGAGCGAGTGAGGAGGAAAAAGGAAGCAACCCTTGAAGGATAGATGCTGCAGAATTTTCCAAAATAAAGAGAAAAAAACAAAAACCAAACAAAAACAAACAAAAAAAAAACCCAACCAAAGAAATCTAATTTCATGGCATCTTGTGATTGAAGCAAGGTACTTAAAGGTATTTTAAGATCACTTGGTTGTGAATCATATATTTAACTTGTGATTAGCAAAATACAGTAAATGAAGGTTATACTTCTTGACATTTTTCAGCTATTTTTAGTTTAATGATGCTTCCAAGTCTTTTAAATACAGCTTTCATGAATTATTTTTAAGTTGGACAGGCCTGATAGTATTTTAATATGGTTTGTGGAATTATGTAATCATCATTGTATGAGTTCTTGAAATCCATTAAGACATTCTCTGTGTACATCTTCCTTAAAAACAAGGTGTGGGTCACTCATGCCTACATGTATTGTGTTTGGTCTTGTTTGTGTATTTCCACTGACTTCAACAGCAGCTCGGCTTTCAGCAAATGCCCATCAGAAATATTCAATGAATATCACTTCGTTTCATTCTGTCCGTATTACGTGTTGGAGTGTAAGCTGTATTTTAAGATGTTTGGGAATTCTCTGGGTATCCTTTTCTAGAAGTGTAATTTTCATGAAAAGCAGAGACTTTGTGCTAGTTGGGGGCCCAATCGATCGACCATTCAAGCTGTTCATGAATCTCCTCACTGATTTAGTAGCTGCTCTGATTTCCCCGGGGCAAACAAAAACGTGGGGCCGGGGCTGGCGGGGCCGAGCGCTGCCGGGGCGGGGGCCCGGCCCCCCCGTGCCCGGGGCTCTGAGGGGCGGAGTGGCCCAAACGGGGGGAGTTCGGGTTCTGGGGTCAGGGATCCGCTCTCGCTTTCACTTAGTTTTTTGCTTTTAATGGAATTCAGTACTCTCCTGCTTTTTTTTTTTTTTTTTTTTCTCTGATTAAATTAAAATGTCTTAAATTGCCACAAACATTAATCCGGTGTTGAGCAGCTGCCAAAATGTTTGTTTTTCTTTCCTAGAGGTAAAGAAATATTATGACAGAAACTACCAAGCTTTCTTCTTGTTTGTTTTGTTGAATTTTGAAACTGCAACACTAGTAAATAAAACCCCTTTGGCTTCTCTGTCAGGACGGTTCACTTCTGGTACGACAGCACCTCGTCTGTACCACGTCAGGTGGTCTGCTCGGTTGTGGCTGGATATTAACAGCCGTTTAAAAGAATGCGGTTAAAACGGCAGAAGGAGCCGTCAGGAAGTGGGATGGGTGAAGTGTGTGCGCAGGGGCAGGGACCCCCCCGCCTTGGCTCCGAGCGCCCCGAAACGGGCGGCCGGTGCGCACAGCCTCAGGGCACCGCGCTGGATGGCACTGCCGATGGCCCCCGCAGCACCGGCACTGGCCTTTTTCCAGACGTTTAGGATTTGTCTAAATGTTTACGGGGTTTCAGATCGATTAAAAAAAAAAAAGTGACATAAATGCCACAAATGTCATATGTGACCTATGCCAAGCTGCTTCCAAGAATAGGAACATTACAGCTTTTGGAAAAAAAAGTTGACGAAATTAAATACAAATAGGGTGTATTTTTTTTCTAATCACATTATCAAAAAATGCTGAGCAGTTTTAGCTCAAATTCAGCTTGGGGAACGCACTCAACCCAAACAGTTGAAGCTCAGCAAAATTGTAAACAGCTGGAAATGATGTGTTTATAATTGGGACTGTCAGTATCTGACTTTAACGTGATGAGCAGGCGTTGCAAAGAAAGATCAAATACTGAATATTGAAGTAGTCGCTAATAAACAGACATAAGTACAAGCTTTGGATTGTCACACCAGGAGGCTTTGGGGTGTGTTAGTTTCTAGCACTGATGTTAGGGATGGGGAAGTGTTGATTTGCCTGTGAAGTTCTTTCTGTAGTAGGAAACAAATGTAAGAAAAAACTTAAGGAGGAAAAATATTCTTGTGTTTCTATTTAATTAAATGAACTTTGCTCTTACAGTTGCTACTGTCTTTTGTTTTATTGAAAAGGCAATTGAAAACTCTGCTTTTGGAAAGGAATCCCATAAAAGAGCTACCCACAGAGCTTGGTAAGTACTCGCTACTTTTTTAAAGATATCAAAGACATTTTTTGGCTCTTAATGTTTAATTCTGTGGTTAGACTTAAATACTTTGATATTTATCTAAAGAAGGGTTTTAATTTACCACAAACATGTACTATCAGAGGGGGGAGAAATAACTTGTGTTATTTATAATGACTGCCTTCATTGATAAGGGGGGAAAAATTTATTAAAATGTCTGTAGTGTTCTGGTCGGGAATGTTCAATATCATTGAGTAAGGCTGAAGTAAAAAACATGTATTAGATGTCAGACATCTCAGACATCTGCATACTAAGACATAAATAAACATGATTAGAGATGAGAACTTCTACAGTAGTTTCTTACACTTCAGGTTGTGTTCCTGGTTTGTAACTTCCTTTTAATGACTCCTTTTGCATTATCTGTTACTACTTTGAAATAACAGATGTTTCCCAATCAGATGTTCTAAGGAAAGCTGAGCCAGTTGCCTGGACTCCTGGGCTGGTCCAGCTGGGACCCCTCGGGCTCTCGGCGTGCTCAGAGCGTGCGTGGCAGGGGTTTTTATCCCTGTTTGATGTTGTCTGAGCCATAAGGCTCCTGGTGCAGCCCTGGGACACTTACCCTCCACAGCTGCATCTGGAGTCTGGGCTTGTGTCACCAAAAATGGCTTGATGTGGAGATGGCCACACAGAATAGAACAGAACATGCCAGTTTTCAGTTAGGCCTAGCAGGAAGCGCAGATAGAAGAGAATAGAGTATGTCTGTAGGAGACTTTGAGCTGGGCCTAGCTTCCTGCTGCTTCCATAGCTGCTGTGCTATGAGGCTGCTTCTGGCGGGGCGTGCTGGCTCCTGTGCTTCACTGGACTCCCTTATATTTGGGTTCGCTCTCCAGTACTGACTACATAAAGAATCTTACCTCTCTGTCCATGGCGCGATGTCTCTGCTAGTGAAGAGGAGGTGCCCAGGCATGTCCCCGAGGCCAGCGGCGCAGCGACCCGTTCCTTCACGGCTGCTCCCTCGCCCCGCCCGGGGTGGCCGCCTGCAGAGCTGCCCTGGCACTGGGTCTGGAGTGTCCTTGTCTCCAGGCTCACGCAGGAATTGCCTGGAGAGCCCTGGCTGGTGCAGGCCGACGTGCATCTCCAGGGCTGAGCCAGCTATTTAGAGATGTGGCTGTAGTCTGAGGCCTGAGAATGTTCCCGTGCACTACTAATTTTCTGTATTTTAACAGAGCTTAGCTATTCCTAGGTAAGGCTGTGCAGGCGTGGGCCCTCCAGCTCCTGGGCAGTGCCTCGGAAGGCAGCTGGACGCAGCAGTAAATACCCTTCCACCACAGCCCTTCCAGCCCGGCACCTTTGCTCAGATTTTGGCAGAAAATGTTGTGGATGCAATACTGACTCTCTCGCTTTCCACTTCGCAGTTACTTGGGGCAGCCTGGACTGTCCCTTCTTGAGGCTCCCAGCAGCCGGGCCTTCCAGGCAGACCCGCTGTCCTTTGTGTCTCTGGGCCCCGTGTTCCCCAGGCCAGAGCCCCTCTGTGCTGGCGCTTCCCAGCCCGCGAGCTGGAGGGTGTGGGCAGGCCCCGTGCCCCCTCACCTGATGCTGTCCCCACACCTGCGCAGGGAAGAAAAGACCGGCCGAGCCCGGCAGCTCAGGTGTTTGCTGTTCACATGTGTGGCCGACTCTGCTGTACTAGTTGGCTGTTAGCTCTGTCCTGAGGCAGGGCTTATTCCTGTGGAGTCCTATCTCCTAGAAGAATTACTTGAAGGAGAGCTTGGAGCAGGGGATCAAAGCGTATAAGGGCACAGGGAAGTGACCTCAAGCTGCAGTTGGGCTTGGTGACCACTGAGCCCTGCTGTTGCCTGTCTGGCTGCTGGAGAGGAATGGCTGGTAGCCCAAGCAAGGGAAGGACAGAGGGTGTCAGCTTTTCCATTCCCCCTTCACACGAGGCTGCCTGTTCCTGCAGTAACCCTGCTCTTTCTACCCTGAGCTGAGCAGTGACTGAATCAAAGACATCCTACCTGCTGATGTAAAGATCCTCGTGTCTCCCGGAGTAGAACGGCCCTTCCTGCAGTGGGACTCGTTTCATGCAGTACTGTGTTCTGGGCAGACTCTCTTCTGCTCTGGTACTTCAATCGTTACAGGCTTCCCAGACTGGTATTGAGGTGAGGGAATTCCTGCCATCTGTGACACTTCCCCATTTCTCCCAGCTCCGGGGAGAGGTACCAATAGAAGGATGCCAGCGTTCCTGCTGCGCTGCAGGCTTGGCTCAAGCCACAGCGATTGCTGAAGGGCCCCGCAGGCTCCTCCGGGCGGTTTTTCTGGGCAGCAGCAGGGTGAGGACAGATGGCTGGAGGTGTTGGCAGAGGCAGGCTGCAGCCAGGCTTCCCCGCCTCGGGCACGTGCTCCTCAGCGAGCGGCGCTCGAGAGCCTGGCAGGGTAGGGGCAGCCTGGTGGCACGGCCACCTCAGTCACGTGTACAGCTGCCACCACGTCATGCACACAGATGCACAGTCTATCTACATCTATACACGCATGCACACAACTTGCAGAAGCCCAGCTGCTTCAGCCTTGCCTCCTTCCACAGTGCACAACGCGGCGCGGAGCAGCGCAGTGATTTGCACCTCAGCTGGAGGATGGTGGATGTAGGGCAGGGGTTGCCTGAGTCTGGGTCACTAGCGGCTCCTCGCTCCCGCATGGCAGAGCTGGGCTGCACGGCCCCCAGCCTGTGCCACCGGCTTCTCCCGCCGCGGGGCCTGAGGGGATGGCCCGGCCACCCACCCCCTAACCCGGGAGAAAACCTGGGAGTTGTGCTGTGACACTGAGGGGTTGTCAGATCCTAGTACCTTCTTACAAAACACTCGTTTTGACAAGACAGCTTTTTGTGACAAAATGATGTTTCATGAGCTAATTCCCAGCCCGCTGCTCCTCCTCCCCTCCCCTGTGGCTCTCTCCTCTGTACCCTTGCCATCACAACCACCTCTACCAAGAGACGGAGCAGGAGCTGACGCTGACAGCACCAGCACACACTTCAGTGAGGGGTATCGTCCTGCAGTGGCCGTGCCCTGATCCTTTGTACTCTCTGTAGCAAGCAGAATACCAGGTTTGTGATGTTGGGATCATAGATACCAAACAAAAACGTTGTAACATAAACCAAGGGGAGCTTGGAGGGTGATCCATGATAATAGTCTTCATTCCCTGGGTGTGTTTTCCACCTAGATCTGGAATGAATTTGCAGTGTTTCCCTTCATTCGTTGAACTTTTTTTTTAGTTGAAAGCTGCTGGTTCAATGAATGACAAACCTCTTGTGAGGTGAGCAGAAGCCTGAATGGTAACAAAACAATTTTGTTATTCATCTGTGGCTGTTCCTAGAGCATTTATACTGGCTCACCTGAGCTGCGTAGAATTATTGTGTGTTCTGAATTTAATTACCAAAGATGAAAGATTCATTGCCAGCCAACATGTTTCAAACTCCAGTGTGCTGTGTGCTAGCTGGGCAGTGTTGTGGGGAATTTGAGATACGTGCCTTCTGTTTCCAGTACTGCCAGGGGCTTGCTGGAGAAGTCAGGAGCGTTATGTGGCTTTGGATAAGTCACGGGCTTGCCCACGCCTCAGTTTCCTCTGCTGCAGAATGGGCATGAGGCTACGGTTACAAAGCCATGGAAGCCTGCTGGAGAATGGCATTGCTGCATCTACCCAAGAGTTCTTTAGAATGACTTAGAAACAACCTAAAGCATGAAGAATCGTAGTAGGTGATGCAGTTTAAAATTTTAGTAAGTTATTGTGAAGAGGCACCTGAAAGGTGGAGTGCCGGTTCACGGCCCTGCGGGCGTGGAGCCAGCGCGCACCTGTGGAACTCCCCCACTACCCTCAAACCCTCTTCAAAGCTGAGCTGTTCTCAGTAAGATGAAAAAGATTTCATTTTTCCAATACTGAAGTCATCTGTGTGATTCATTTTGATCATTTCTGGTTAAAAATAGATCAAATTTCTTCATACTAAGCTGTTTTAGATCTAATTGTATTCTCAGATTGTTCTTTACAAGGTGCATTTTCAAAGCCATTTCTTCTTGTTAATAATGTAGCTCTTCCTTTCTGTGTTTATAGTTTATGATTATTTGAACTAATTTTTTAATTTGTGAATCATGACTGTATGAAAAGACATTCAATTGTAGCTCACTGAGCAAATTTTTGGGTTTAGATTGTTAGAACACAGCCTGTGTGCCCAAGCTCCGAACCTCAGCGTCCCACACCAGCGCCCTGCTGAGAGCAGGCAGTGAGGCTCTGAGGAACACGGGAAAGGATTCCTGGCTTGACAGACACAGCTGTGTGTGAGCTCTGGAGATATTTCTTCACAAAAACCTACAGCAATAATTACGCAGCAGCATCTTTAGTTTCTGTGCAGTAAACATGGATTTTTAATTTCATGCGCTCTTGTTACTCCGTAATGTGATTAAGGGTACAGGCTGCTGGCCTGATGTGGTTTTGGTTTGCAGTCAAGTAATTCTTCCTTTGTGGGATTTTTTTGTGTTTTGCTTGTTTGTTGGTTTGGGGGTTGTTTGTCTGCCTGGGGTATTTCCCTTGATCTGTGGTACCAGGTAATTCCTCTTTTCTGACCCTTCCTCAGAAGTCTTGTCCTTCTGCAGGACGTTGGCAGGCTGATTCCGCGTTGTTCCCTCATAAACTTGACTTACAGTAAAACAACAGTATGTCTGGTTTTCAGCCAGTACGTGGTACACATGTGGTGCAGTTAAGTTTTCAACTAAATGTTTCCCCAGGGATTTCAACACATAATTTTTTCAGTCCCGTTCCTGTTCAGTTTCTCTAAATCACATCAGTTGCAATTTGAGTGCAATTTCAGAATGATTCAGACAGTTCTGGTTTTCGTTGGTTCTCAGTTTGAGTTCACCTTCAGCAGACTTCAAAGTAATAATTGTGCTTAACATTTGAGAGTTCTAGCTGTGGTCTGTGAGGGGGGAAAAATAGTTTCGCATGGTTTTGAGATTTGAGTGGAATTTCCCGTAACTCAAATAAGCAACTTGGTTGTTGTTGGGATGGCAAAACTCAAGTTTTCCTTACACTACTGATAAGTTACTAGTCAGCTCTTCCCCGTGGCTGGTCAAAAGAACGCAGACAAACAATGAAAAATCAGAATGTAGTTAAAAAGAAGTAAGTTTTAGGTACGTTTGTTGTCCATTTCACTGCAAGAAAGAATTTGGAGAACGAATGAGCGTTCCATGGCAGTAACTGGATGTGGCAGTCCGTCCTCTGTGTAGCTGTGGTAGTTTTACACGCAGCAGGTTGTACACGCGATCGCCTTGATGGGAAGAGTCTGTTTGCACTTGGGTCTCAAGTCTCTCTTCCAAGAGAAGGGGCCCAGAAGGACCCAGCAGTTGTCCCTGTCGCGGTGCTTGGAAAAACTCCTTGGCGCTGCCCCGCTGCCCGGAGAACCCTGGCACCTCCCGCCGCTGCTCCCTGCTCAGTGGCTCTCATGCTGCGTCTTATTTTTTCTGTTTAAGTGTGCTTTGTCAATATTGCTGTAGCTGACATTTCTAGAGAAGTATTGTCAAAATGGAGTTGTTAATCACATTGTGAAATTTGTTTTGTAACACTCCTTTCAGCTTTAATTACTGGTAATTTAAAATTCAATAGCTGTGCTGTTAGTAATGTATTTGTCATTTCTGCAAGTGAGGTTTTACAAAAACATTTTAAAAGTGCAAATACACTATTTTATGCGGTAATGCGGGAAGCAGATAGACACAGTCAGAATTTTAAGCAGTCGCCCTGTAGAAAGTGAGGCAGATTACACTGTACAGTCAAGCTGGGAATGGAGATTTAAAGTGCGGCTCCAGTAATACAACATGAAAAATAAATTCTGATTGAGCTGATTGAGATTTGTCTGTGTGCTTTTCAGTGCTGCAACTTCCTAAATACATTATTATAAACCATACGTCAATCTAAAGTAAATGTCAGGACAAAATATGATATTACCTTTCTTTTAGAGACTCGGTACATTTATTTTTGAATGATTGAGCACATTTCGACTGTTGTGCTTTTGTTTGAATCAGAACTGACTGCAAGTATTATTTATTTCTGCAAATCTAGCTAGTTAGGAAGGGAAAACTGCTGATTTTATTTCACTTCTCTGAAACAAAATTTGTAAGTATTTTATAATCAGCATAAATCTGATTTCTGAAGTGGATTGTGCATATTTTGCACTTTATCCCCATTTCACCAGACCGTCGGCAGAACTTGACAGATGGCTCCACCCTGTACGCATCTTCTCCTCGCACACGTAACCTGGGCTGCCACTGCTTTTGCTTCGGAGCTGAGCTGGAGGCTGGCCCGGCCGCCAGATGCATGAACTCATTAGCCCCGGGGCGGCCGAAGATTTATCTCCCTCTTGTCTGGCCTCGGGAGCTGGTGGCTCTTTGTTGCCCTGGGCAAGAACAGCTAAAGGAGGGGCCGGGAGCCAGGAGAGTACAGACCGATGATCTCAGAAGTACAAAACCAGAACAATGCACTAGAAAGAAAAGAAGAATAATTAAAATATTTAATTCCTTTCATATGAGAAAAATAATGTAGGGTAAAAATGATTTATCAACATGAATTCCGTTCATTTATGACTAAAAGCAGAACAGCAGCAGCTGGGGGACTGTACTGGTCAGCTAAGCTGTGGGAGAAAGTTTGTTTTGTCTAGGCTGATCTCGAATGGGCAGAACAATTTGCTTAAATATTTAAAAAATTTTTAAATTTGAAAAACATGAAATGATTGCAAAGCTATTAAGCAACAGAGTATAAGGGCAAGAAGAAAAAGCATGGAAATAATCACCACAAAAATGACAGAGCCTGTTTTATACAAATTCTTGTGAAACATCTCAGAAACCACAATACAAAATATCTGAAGTCAGCAAGGGGTAGAGTCTGTGCTGGCCCAGGTCGGAGATGTGTTCCCGTGCTGGGAGAAGGCAGAAGCCTTTGACACAAGAGATGGTCGTTTTGAGTTTCACCTGAGAGTGCATCGAGTGATACAGCCCAGGTGTGTGCGGTTCTGGATACATCTGGTGCAGGCTCTGGAGCTGCGTTGCAGCTGGTTTATTTTTTCACAGAAGCCTCGGGCTGAAGGTGGCCTTAGTTACGCACAGCAGATCAGCAGCTTTAATGTTCTGAGGAGTTACTTTCAAGGAGAAGGCAAACACTGCCATGGAATTCAGTCTAGTCTGCTCAGAACAGACTGAGATTTGAGATGAGAGACAGAGCTCATCAGGAATTTGGTAACAATCTCAGATATTACAGTGTTAGTTATACTATGCTTGTATAAAAGTATCTGTTATTTGTAGCTCTAAGACCAGCCAACTAAAAATCACTAGACTTGGCGAAATAAATAATTCAAGGTAGTGTACAGTATCTGCACATGTAGTAACAGTCATTGTCACAGAAATCATAAACACAACGAACAGCAGTCGCGCTGAGCCAGCTGCTGTGTGTTCCTGGGCACTCGCCCGACGATCCCCCGCGGTCCCTCCACCCCGGGCTGTTCTGTGATTCTCTCTTTGCTAAATTATATTGTTTCCACAGGAAACTTAACTTCATTGAGAGCCTTGGATCTGAGACACTGTCCCCATGAATTTCCACCCCAAGGTATCATACAAAACGGATTAAAATCCATCCTCTGCTTTCTTCAGGATTCTGGGAACGGAAAGCTACTCGGTATGGAGCCAGCCACTTCGGCTATGTTGGGGATGTATTTGTGTGCGTTTACTGTAATTTGTTTTGAAAAAGGTGTGAACCAAGGGGTGTTTCCTTGTGGGCTCTGTCACTAATGGGTGTCGTCCAGCTTCCCATCCCAAAGGGGTGTTGCTGGCTAGAATCAACGAGGAAAAAGAAATGCTCCAGTGTTATAAAAAATCAAATCGTGACTCTTAAACTCCTAAGTGGAGAAGAAGGGGCTGTATTTGTATAAGAGGAAGTTCGAATTACTCGTGATGTGGTTAGAGAAACAGAAGATGAAGTGTCAGCGGAGGAGGAGCGTGAACGAGGGCTGGGCCGATCCGTTGGGGTGGAAGAAGGCCGGTGTGCATGGCAGAGCCACGGGGACACTTCACAGGGCATGCAGGCACTCAGGCTCTTAGGGAAATGAAAGAGGACACTTAATTAGCAGATGACCGTGAAAAAAATGCACATCTAGTACCTGACTTACAGAAAAAAAGCAGCGCTGATAAAATTACAGACGGGTCAGGGTAGCTTCTGTTTGAGGACGCGGTCTGGTTCAACTGCTCAGACTGCTGCAAACGCTGAGGTCGGTGTCGGCCTCCTGGGGGTTACCCCCGCTGGTGGGCCAAGGGGCAGGATGGCCGCTGTGTGCCGGGGCACGGGGCTGGGCCGGCCCGTGGCAGCCTGCGGGGACCAGCCGCTTCTCGGTGCGCAGGGCCAGTGGGGCCCAGGCAGGGGGGCTGGGGGCCAGAGGCCAGGCTGAGCTGCCTCTGTCCCGCCGGCCTAACGCCGCCTCTGCCCCGTCCCGCCGGCCTGCCCAGTCTGTAGCACGAAGCAAAAGGAAAATGCAAACAGGAGCGGAGGGAATGGCTCCTGTCTGCCCGGGTGTCCTGAGGGAGGTGGGGACGCAGTCACTGAACTTGGAGACAGTCTGAAACGCAGACCTACTTCTTCTTAAAAACTTAGTGCACTACAAACATACTCTACGCTGGCACTGATTTTTACAAGCTGCTTCATATTGTGCATCCCCAGACCAGAAGCCTGACAGTGTTTTCTGTGTCTGCACGTTGTGTTTGAGCTCACGTTCTTAAAGACAAGCACAATTCTCTCTATCGCACTTTCTCTTTTTTCCACAGTATTGCGGTTATAAATTTACATTAGGAGGGTAAAATTAAGAAGTTGTCAGTGGAGAGGAAAAGATGCAACATAATTTGCATTATTTATGGTCTGATAGATTCCAGAAGTCATTAATAATAGAAATAGTGGGCATATTCCCACAGAAGACCTCTTCTCATACTTAATCTTTCCTGTAACGAAGGCTAATTACTGTGGATGCCATTAGTATCAGACTGAAATTAGGGTGTTAAAATGTGGTATCATTAAAAGGAGCGCAGTAAATTCAGAGGATCAATGAGCCACTTAAAATGCTAAGCAATATGGAGAAATATAAAAATATCAGCTCAAAATACCATGATAATGAAAATGAAGTTAAAATACTGATATGAAGATAATAACCGGCATTTTTTTCTTAATCTCAATTCCATATATTGTGTTATTAAAGAGAACCGTGCACATTTCCAGAACTTCATGTGATTATTGTGTTTATGTTTTAAGACCTTGCTTATATTTCTTGTTTTGAGACAAGTTATATCCCAGTAGTGTTGCTTAATTACCACTTCTTAGCTTCAGATTTCACCACTCTTCAGCGTGACTCGAGAGCAAGCAGTGCTTTTTTCCATAGAGACAAGTGTTGTCTGCATTACTGGTGATCAATGTTTATATCACTTTTTCCGTGTTAGTGGACATTTATTTTAGCCTGCATAATATGTAAAAATCTGCTCACTTAACATCTTAAGTCATCGGGATCTCAAGTGAAGTTACAGGCTAAGATGCCATCAGTATTATCCTCCTGGCTTGGCTTTTGTGCGAGCAGGAGACCTTTCCCTGCAGCCGGGTTCAGGTGACGTGCTGGAGAAGTAGCCCCGTGGGCTGGGAAGTCAGGCTCTTCTCTCGGAAGACTCAGATCAAGGCCTCTTTCAGACCGCAAACTCTGAGAGCCTCATGCAGACTGTGATACCTCCTCAAGTGAGGATGGTGCTGGATGAGAACTAGTGTCGGTCAGGAACGAGGGTAAGTGGAGGAGACAGGCTGGGAAGCAAGTCCAACACCCGCCCGCGTGGGGACTTCTGGTACCGGCCTCAAGCCACCCCGGGTCCAAATCAGCATCAAATCTTCATCTGGAAAAGCTTCCAGAGCCCTCCAGAAAGGATAAGGTAGTATATTCCAATGATATATTTAAATAGACCGTTTAAGATCCAAGATTGCTCTTTTAAATATATTTTACTTTTTTTATTAATCTAGTCCTAGTTTAATTATTAATCTAGTCATAACGATAGAGCCAGAACCCCCGAGTTGTGTGTTCCACAGAATTGCCCACGCTAGAGGAGTCAGAACGGGCCATTGCTAAACATTATGGAAAACCTCCTGAGCTGCCCTCTTCCTAGGGAGGTGATCAGTGACCCGTGGAAGCAGGTGAGCTTCATTAAGTGTTTCAGGGCTTTTTTGTGAAATACTAGCATCTTAAAATAGGAACCTACACTAGTCATTTGACTTATTCTTTGCCATTCTCTCTGCAGAATCTGTCACATTTACTGGTGCATCATGCTACATTTGTTTCCAGAGAGCACTAAAATGAAAGGGAGGAAAGCTCCGTTCCATTTGTGCTTGACGCAGTTGGGGCTAATGTTTGTGATTCTGGACACAGGCCTAATGCCAAGTGTAGGTGTTTACTTGGTATTTCCACCAACAGCAGAGTAACGTTTAGAATCGAAATCGGAAGAACGCTTGGGAGTGGGTGTAAAATGCCAAACATTTACCATTAATTTTCAGTGAGAAATAATGTAGTTCTTTGATATTCTAAATTATGCCTTTTATAGACTTTCAAATGTTTTGGTAACAAATCCATACTGTGGCTGAAATTGGACTATTTCAGTCCAGTTAAATTAAGCCTAATCTAATATTCAAGTGGAGTTTTAGTAAGCAAATTATGCAAAACTGAAGCAAAACTTCTGTGTAGAATGCATTCTGACTGGACTTACTGATAGGAATTCTCCCCTTTCCAATTGGGAAATTAATTTATCATTGAGCATTTTTAATTGTTACCTAAAGTAAAAAATTCAGGGTAGTGGCAGAAGCATGTCCTTTTTATGTTAGACTAAAGGTGTAAATCCCCTGAACAGAAACCTATTCACGTGCTGTACTCCTGACGCTCGTGTGGTGCCAGGCGCCCTGTCAGCAGCTGGAAGAGGTATTCTGGAGTTTGTTTGTAAACTTGTGGAGACTCTGAAAACAGGCTGTCTCCTTTTTACCTTTTTATCTATCTGTGTGAGGTGAACCTGCATTATTTTTCACTTTTTATTCTCAGCAGTAGCAATTCAGAATTAATCACAGCTGATCACTCTTCAAGCCACTATGTGAAGCGAGAGTTTGCTTTGGCAATTAGCAGAGTAGTGTCTGACGGTGGTGAGATGTTTGTTTTCTAAAGTGGACGCTTACAGCTGTTTTCCCAAGTTCCCTCCTGCATTTTGTTACATGCTCCCTTTCAAAATAAACACGTAATACGCTTGAAACTCTCTAGTTAGTTATTTTGGGTTTTAACTTCCTTCAGTGGTACACAGTCTTGCAAATTTTGAGGATTTGGTAAGTATTCTTCAAAATAGCAAATCAAAGGCATTTTTCTGCTGATTTTTCTCTGCATAAGAATGTGGGGTTGCATTCTGTTCTACTTAATTCACATACAGTCGATTGGAATGACAAAACAATGATAAATTATGCTCTGGAACAGTGTTGTAACTTTATTATGTTATTATGTTTAGTGTTAGTTTAGATAGTGGTATATTTAAAGAAGAATAATCCCATGGACTTTAATATTTAGAATCTGTGGGCTTGCACATGAAGTTTGGGAACCTTCTGTAACATGCAAGAGTTTTTTGCTCCCTCCCACATGGCCCATCTGTTCATGTTGGATGAGAGCAGTGTGTAAGAAGTAGTATATACATACTTCATGCAGAGAGGATAACAGAATGTACCTTGGAATAATGCTTTTTCTCTAAAATGTGAGAAGAGGAGGGAGATGAAACCCAGTGTGTTTCTCCTCTAGGATTCAGGGAACCTCCTGAGTCTGTAGTTGATACGGAACCAGACCTCTGTGTGCCTCACGATCTCTCAGCCCCGGGGTCAGAGGTATGATACATTTAGCCGCCGCGGTTGTTTGGGCAGCAGAAGGTCTGGAGGACAGACCGACCCCAAAACCATGGATGAATTCTGTGGTGGTGGGCTGTTGCTGAGCTTGGCACTCCTGTGGGTGCCCTGATAACTTACTGGTGACTGGTTTGTGCGCTTCAGTGTAAGTCATGCTTTGGAGTGCAGCGTAGATACACCCTAGAATCAGTCACCATCATGTAACCGTGAAAGTTCAGTTGTGTGTGAAGGTTAATACCTATAAAGGTGTAATTTGGCATAATACTAAATTTGATCAATCTGAGGCGCCGGTCGGGATGAAGTGCCAGGTGTGCTAAAGCTTTCACCAGTGCTGTGCTTCTCCCCGTTACGTGACATGACATTACATATTTAAATTGGTTATGTTAAAAGATCTTTCCTGTTTTGACTCACAGATTGCATTTGGGCACTTGTAGTATGTTAATGATTATTGTATCTGTTTGCGTTGCCTTTTTCCTTCCTCTGATACATGGAACATATTTTTAACTCCTATTCATCATGCAGAGAACTCCAATTCAGTCATACACGGTTCATGTAATACTTATTTATACCCACATCCACACTGGCAGGCTATAAATGCTGCAGAAACATGAAGTGAGAGAAAAAGTGAGGGCTTTATACAGCCTTAGCTCAGTCCCTACATGTGCATGCGTTATGTGAGGCTTGATTTCCGCTGTCTTTTCCCTCACAGTGGAGATGCCAGCG